CCTAACTCAACCTTACCTTTTCATCTATGTGACAAGTGAATTCCAACCCAACACAAAAAACGATAGCACTCCTTTCAAAATAGGAAACAAAATATCCCTTGTAATCTCTCTTGTAATCTCCATCAAAGTAATAAGCAAAGTCTCGCATTATTTTCTCATGGATGTAGGTCACGTTTTGTGGCTGAACTACGTTATATCTTTATGATATGTGAGTTGCATGTTGCTGTATTTTAATTTTATGATGTTGCTTTAATGTTGTGTTGTTTCCATTGCTGTTTTATGTGATTTATGATGCACCATGGTTTTTAGTTTGATCGATCCTACGGTAATTTCACCACCATCAAACACAACAACTAGTATAAGAGCTTAGGATTTGTGATTCATTTGTTTGTGGAGAAAGGGGTTTTGCTATTGTGCTTATTTGCTATATTTTTCCTAAAATGTAGATGGCAGTAGAATGTGAAAAACTAAATCAAAGTAATTGACCAATATGGAAAAATGATGATGGAAGATTATTTTGTAGGGAAATAACTATATCAGCCACTTTAAGGAAAGGAGGCCATGCCTGTAGGAATGAAAGTTTGGGAATGAGATATTTTTTATCGAAAATGTTTGGTAGTCATTTGACCTTGTGTTCAATTTTATTTGATGTTTGTCAATATAAAACATATGCCAAGCTTTGACAATATTTTAAACAACCATCTGGTGCAAATAAAATGTATAAGTCAAAAAAGCTATATTTCTTTTGAAAATGAAGAAGGTGAAACAATTAGAATATATATGAGTGAATTTAATTTTATTTATGTACAATTGAGGTATTTAAAAATCAATTTAGATAAAGAAGTTTTATGTTTGCTTTTGTTGAGTTCTTTACCTGCTAGTTGGGATATATTGGTTACTACTGTGACAAATACAATAGGTAAAAAATTTAATTTGAAAGATGTTGTTGCTTCATTGTTAAATAAAAAGACTAAAAAGGTATCCACACAAATGTCTATTAAATCAAATCACACATTGGCAGTAGGAGATAGAAGAAGAACTCAATATAGAGATCAACCCTCTGAATTTAATAGGGGTAAATCTCATGGCAGTGGTAGGGCTAAGTCACAATGAAATAATATTACTTGTTGGTATTGCAAGAAACTTTGTCATATAAAAAAAAATTGTTATGATTTGAAGAATAAGCAAAATGCCAAAGATAAGGATGACCATGCAAAGCAAGTACAATATTTGATGGTGAATATGAGGTCAATTTTAGTATTGCATGCATAACACTGTCTACTAAATATACTTGGGTCTTGGATTATGGTGCTTCATTTCATGTTTACCAAAAAAAATCACATTTGTCATCCTACAGAGATGTGGATGGTGGATGTGTCTATTTTGGGAATTAGAAATGTTGTTATTAAGCAATTAGATAGAAAGAATCATACATTGAGAAATGTGAGGCAGGTTCCTGACTTGAAAAAAAATCTCATTTCAGTCGGGCAATTGGATGACTTTGAGTTTATAGTGATTTTTGGAAATAGGTCATGGAAGATTTCAAGATATTGTATGACAATATTGAAATGACTAAAAAATGAAAGTTTCTACATTCTTCATGGCACACCTCAAAAGAATGCTGCTACAGAGAAGATCATTGCTATAACTAGTAAACAAGAGTGGTCGGGTATGGATCTACCTCGCTCAAGCTCCCTCGGGGAGACTCGGGGTCGATTGATCCCCTCTCGAACAATTGCCTTGACTTCTCGAGCACGTGTGCAACTCATGTGTCATGTGCAGATAGATAAGTTCAACTATGAGATAATTTTAATGTGATGAAGAGATGGACTCGAACACCTACCTCACTGTAGTTTTGAGGTTGTGGGATAAGCTCGGGCTATTGCCCGCTTAGATCAATAAACGAAACCCCTCCGGCTGTCTAGCAACGCGGTTTGGATATGAACCCCTCTCTAAACTCAACACCTCACCTGGACTCTCACTTGAAAGCTACTAATAAAATCCAAATGTAATATACTCCTCTTTGATGGGTTTTATGGGTGAATGGTTATAGTTTTGGGGGTAAAGTGGTAAGAGAAATAAGCAAGAGAGGGGAGAAATAAGAGAATAAGAACAAGAACATGATGACAAATTAGTTTAGAAGTGAGAAGAAGAAGAAGATCAAAGTGAAGAAAATAAGTGAAGAGACCACCCAAAGAAAATTGGGCAGCCTCCCGGTACAATCTCTCCCAAGAGGTACGTAGTTCTTAGATCCTTCGAATTCCTTTACCTCCTCTTCTATTATTTCCTTTTTTTTTTCACTTTAGCATTGCACTAGATGATCATTTTATTGTCCTTGTTTCCCTGTGATTCTCCTTTGACTGAGTACTTGTCCCTACTTTCTAGTCATTGGTAGTATGACATTGCCACCTTCTTGTGCACCGTTATATTTTTTCTTTTGGCTGCCATTCAAATGTAGGTTGTGTACCAGCCCAATCCTGACCCATGAGGTGATCCAAAAGGGAAGGTGTTTCATGAGGTGTCTTTGTGAGGAGCTTGGGTTGGGAAGGAGATGTTATTGTAATGAATGTCTTTGGATAACGTTCAGTGTGATTTAGTTTGGGTCATCAGCAGTTGGGTGGTGTAGGATCCTTTGATGTGTTTGTAAGAATCTTCATTGAGGGCTTGTTTGATAACTGGAAGCAAGTTCATGAACTGTAAGTTAGCAGTTCCTGAAGAACTGTAAATAGAAGTTACTTAAGAAGTTCATGGTTTCTGTGTTTGATAACCTCCCTAAGAAGTTAAGAAGTTCATAGTTTATATGTTTGATAACTCTTGGGATATATGGTAAATATCTTATATTTATATTTACATTGATAATGATTTAAATATAAATATATAATATTTATAACATACTATAATATATGATATATTGCATTTTATATATACAAAAAAGTATATTATATATTATACAATAAAATATATACATATATCATATATAACGTAATGTAAAATATAATATAGTGTAGTTTATATTTATTTTATTGATATATATTTGTATCATATAAGATATATTATATAGTGAATTATTTTGTTAATCTTATTTTTATTATATAATATATATATATTACAATTAAATAAATAAAATTATAATTAAATAAATAAAGAATACATTGTATATTTTTGTATTATATAATATTATAAATATCTATTATAAAAATAAAATATAATATATAATAAAATAT